CCGAGCTTGCGGTGGCCGGCGGCGTTGGCGTACCAGTTGGAGAAGGGGACGAAGATGCTCTTCAGGAAGGGGCGGGCGAGGATGCCATCGGCGAGCTTCTTCGAAATGAGCGAGGTCATTGTGGCGGCTGGTAGTGGACGGGGGAGAGAAGAGGGTTCGATATAATGCCGCGGAGTACGGGTTTGCGGATCGCCTGCGGTTGGGACTATAGAAAATCGTGGAGTATTCCGAGAGGCGCAAAGATCCGGAACAATGGGTCATGTGACTTTCCTCGAGATCTCGTCACTAGCCACATATGGCACAGCATGTGGCACCGGTCTCTTGTGGGACCATTCAAGGCACGGGCCACACACGATCACCATGTTTGGAGATGGAGTGCATCGATGAGGTAATGAGCCACCGACAGGATTCCCTGCCCATGATGGCACCACCATGGACCCTGATGCTGGTTTGGGAAATGGGAGTGGTTTTTTATTTTATTTCATTTTATTTTATGTCACTTCGTGTAGAAGCCGCGAAGCACCGGCGGAGGTGGAGCTCCTTTCTGCGGCCTGGAGCTTGAAAGTTTTCTTCCATGTATTATTGAGAGTCGCGATTCAGTGTGGTTGTGGTTGAATACCTACCTACCTACGTACCTAGGTATATTAAAGTTAGGCGGACACTTTGAATTTGCTGGAATGCAGTCGCTCTCCATTGAGCAAGATCCCCTACAAATCCGAGGTTAAAGCCTTTTGCTTCTCAACGCCCTTTGCTTCACCTGCCGTCCTTTGTTCAGCCCTATAATGATTTTGTAGTCCAGCGTCATCTCTCAACTGTTGACCTGCCAGGGTTGCAAACAAGTATTGGCCACGTCCCGAGCAGAGCAGCTTTCGGTGGTGTCAGCCCAGCGCCTGGTCAGTGGTTGGAAATAGAGCACCAGCCCCCGCAGCGTCATCGCTCAGGTCCCTTCAGCGGCCATCGCACCTACTTCGGCGCCTCTCATACTCCCTCCCAGCCCATTGGATTGCTCCTGCCTCTCCACTCGGAGGAGATACCCTGGGACGTGGGCGGGCACTCCTACCAAACGAGACAACCGACAACTCGCATCATTTTGCTCTCGTGCGCCGTCCCGCTCCACCTCGGCGCTTTTTCGCAATATCCCATCTCCCAACTCCCCCGAGTGAGTGCGCTCCTACCATACCTACCTATCTACCGAGCACTACCACCACTTTTCTTCCTTCCCTTCTCTGCTGCCCGCCTCTCTCTCCCCGCTCCTCACTTCCCAATCCCGTATGCTTGGGAGCGCCTTGCCCACCAACTCCGTCCTCGACTCCACGCGCTAGACATCCTGTTCCCCGCAAGGCCAATGGGCTGCAATAACCGCTAGTCGCTCAGTGTCACGGCGGCGTGGGAGCGTTCCCCGCATACCGGGACACTTGGGAAGGTCCAGCACCTACCTGATTTGAGAGGTACACACCAGACGCCTACCGAGAGAAACCCAACACGACGTCGCAGCACGAATTTGAAGCATATTCAACACCATTTCCGAGCCGATACGCACCCCGCAAGCCCACATCCTGCTTTACACACTGCTCCGCGAGAGCCCATCAACCCCAGGACGTCACCGCGCCTCACTTGCGGATCCATCGCCGAACCCGCCCAACATCCGCCATTTGGACCCTGATCGAGCTCAACAGTGTGAGAGGGGATGTCTCACGACGAGCACCACGACGCTCAACGAGGCGTCCCGCGCTCCCAGGAAGAGGAATATGGGCCGTATCCGACTTCGACATACCCCAACTACAGCAGCTCCAGAGCTTTCCCGGCCCCGGCCCCGGCCCGTGCAGCGTTGGCTACCATAGAGAAAGCCGCTTCTGCGATGCCCGCAACCGAGACTATTACCGCCTTCGAGAGGTGGGCCGCGGGCGCCTCCGATGCTCAGTTCAACGCGCTTTCCGGTGCTGTAGGAGGCTTCACTTCGGGCGTGGTTACGTGCCCGCTCGACGTTATCAAGACCAAGTTGCAGGCACAGGGCGGTTTCAATCCTGTCGAGAAGGGAAGACATGTCGGGCACCCCAAAATCTATAATGGCTTGCTGGGCACCGCCCGTGTGATATGGCGAGAAGAAGGCATACGCGGCATGTACAGGGGGCTCGGCCCGATCGTACTGGGTTATTTGCCCACATGGGCTGTGTGGTTTACTGTCTACAATAAGAGCAAGGACTGGTTGAAGCACCGTCATGGTATGTTGGAAACCGCAGGCTGGAGACTAGGCCATGAACTGACTGAGTCGACTACAGAAAACACGGTGTTGATCAACTTTTGGTCATCCATCATAGCCGGTGCCAGCAGCACCATCGTTACAAACCCCATCTGGGTTATCAAGACCCGCCTGATGTCACAGAGCGTTGCACATGACCCGGGCAAGCACTACTCTCAGTTTCCGAGATCAGGCAATACCCCGACTTCGAGACCAACAATGCATAGCTCGTGGCATTACCGGTCCACAATGGACGCGGCGCGCAAGATGTACACTTCAGAGGGCGTTTTATCATTCTACTCGGGCCTTACCCCGGCTCTGCTAGGACTCACCCACGTGGCAGTTCAGTTCCCTGCGTACGAATACCTGAAGACGAGGTTTACTGGCCAGGGAATGGGAGAGCCGACCCAGGGAGACACACAAGAATCACAATGGATGGGCGTGTTGGGAGCTTCGATATTGTCGAAGATTATGGCGAGCAGCGCTACCTATCCACACGAGGTTATCCGCACGAGGCTACAGACGCAACGAAAACCCGTAGGAGGGGCCGAGTATCTTCAGGGCCTGGGAATCAAGGTGTCTGCCTCCATGACGGGAGAAGACGGGAAGAAACAGCAGTTGTTATCACCAAAGTATCGCGGCGTGGTCAGCACCTTCCGGACGATCCTCAAAGAGGAGGGGTGGAGGGCCTTCTACGCTGGCATGGGCACTAACATGATGCGAGCGGTGCCGGCCGCGACAGTGACGATGCTGACGTATGAGTATGTGATGAAGCATTTGAATCACGCGAGGGCCGAGGGCAAGCGGAAGCGGGAAAGAGGCAGCGCACCTGCTGAGCCCTGACCTGGGTAACTGAACAATTCGGGGGTGGCATTACATCAAGAGGGCGGCGGGAAAGAACCGAGCCAGACACCATGTGCGGTTTAACAACGGTGGAAGCAAAGAGCTGTTGAGATTGTTAGGAAATGGGGATGGGATTTTCCAGATACCCTTAAATTTGGTCGCCAGGTTTAGACAAACTCGATTCAGGTCACGTAACAAACATAGTGCGGTAGTCATTCTTCTAGGCGACGGTCCATGGGTCGATTTCTCTGCCTCTCCCCACCATCCCCTCCTTCTCATTACACCCAGCCACCATATATCGCTGTTCATTTTGTTCTATTCGCACGCAGACTTGACCACGGAGTGCACAATAGCCAAGAGAGGCAGCGTGGTAGGATCTTGATTTCTCTATGGACGGTACACTCTTGTGTAGTACTTTATTGGCTAGCGCGAAGTATTTATGGGGGTCCGTTGTTCAACACGCTAACACACGACGCTGAAGAACGACTGGCAAGTTTTGTGTGCTGATTTGGTATCTGGCAAATGCAGAGACGGAAGCAGCAGGGGGGGGGGAGTATTAAGTCACATAGAAACCGGGGAAAAAAAGAAGAAAAAAACAGCAAGACGATAAACATGAAACCGCAAAGCCTCGGTTTTTCTCATTCTCCCATCTCGTAGTGAGAACTCTGAGAAACTCGGCAGACACAAAGTTGGCCTCGCCTGTCGCCTGCCCGGCACCCACAGAGGCGACCCTAGGAGCTGGGATTCGGAGGAGGCGGTCTAGGATTACTGGAGCCGTTGCCATATCTCTTAAACGATGTTAGTAGCAGTCCAGTGAGGCAGATGCGACGCGGGACGTGAGCACGGAGGGGATTGGCGCAGTGAGACGGAGACAAGGGCAGACGTACGGCTTGATCCCGCGCCGTGCGGATCGACGAGCGGGTATAGCTGTTTTCTTGTCAGTATAACTCCTGTAAACTAACGCGACTCTCGTGTGAGCCTCGGGAGAGACCGGCAGTTCTGCAACATACGCGAAGAGGATACACGCCATTGTGAACGCCGCCAGCGGGGCCGTGATTGTCTACGAGGTGGGGAAGTCAGGGGGGCATCCGATTAGAATCGTGGCGTGGGGGGGGGTAGAAGCTCACCTTTGGTGTCAGGTTTCCTTTCCGCATCTTAAGATCATTCTCCGATCTTGATACGGTTCGTGTGTTGAGACGGAGGGAACGGAGGGGGGTTGTGTTGTGGGTTAGCAGTGTGTAAGTGTGTAAGTGAGAGTGGGATCATGGATGCGATGGAATGGGCCGATTGTGGTTAGACGTGGGCCGTGGCGGGTGTTTGCAGGTACCGGGTTTATCAGTGCGATAGTTGCATATCTGGTCCACGCAGCACGGGACTTGTCCGACAGCTGATTATGGGTTAGAGACTGCAAAGGGTTCCGGAAGTCGGTTGATCTGGCACACCACTGACCCTCCAAAACTGCCGTGGGGGTACTGTTCTATCCTGACCGAGACGTACTTGCAAGCACATTCACGCTGACCCAGCCAGGGCTCACTTCTGACTGAAGCCAATCGTTTTAAAGCCGTGCCTTAGAGACACGATGCCTTGGCACGACATCCTCTGCGCCGCTCTGTTGAAGCAACCTTCTGTCATTTTATATTGCGTCTCAAGGTACCTACCTAGATAGGCAGTTCGAGTCCTCCCCAAATGTATGTCGGAAGGGAAGGCACAACTATGTATCGGCAGCAAAAGAGTGGGCCGGGACCGCCAGGAGACGCTAAAAGTTTTAGGTGCGCGCTTCTGTGCTCTGGCTGCGCCAATCGAAAGGCACATTGTGACATTGCAAATGCGCTTTCCGACTTCACGATAACCGTTCAGTACCACAGGATTCGCAAAGCAGAATAGACATAAAAAATATCGGGCCGTTGAAGGCTGCTTGTGACAAGAGTGGGATTCGAACCCACGCCAATTACTTGACTAGCACCTGAAGCTAGCGCCTTGGACCGCTCGGCCATCTTGCCTTGTGAGAATGTTTGTTGGTGTTGTCGCATCGGGTGGGGATTAAGTCAGGTTGGCAGCAGGGGTCACCTCGATGGGGACCGGGTTGACGAGGCAAAGACTTAGTTTCGGCCTGGTATAGCTACCATTTGTGTTGTTGGGCTCGAATCGGGGGATTCTGAACAACAGCTCAAGGGACAATCTGTAGTCCATCTGATCTGTCTGACCCTCCGATGTACCGTATCTGTTCAAGCCAACGCTGGAATGAACAAAGTTCTTCCACTCAAGCCGTCTTTAACATGGTTAGTAAGGCGCGGAAGGTTGACTGACCACCGGGTGTCTAAATAATCGCATGGAGCTAGACAATAGCTGCCCGCTGCAATCGTGTTGCCGCCCCTGAGGCCCAAGCGAGAGGGCCCAGTTCAGGGTGGTGAATGGGCCTGGCGTTTGCAGTACTTCCGAGAAGCGAGCTTCAACTACGTAACCTCGTATCATTCGTAATCTCGACGGTTGTAGAGCGAACTCGTGACAGGTTGTACTATCGGGACACGAAATTGGCAGTCGCGTACAGTTCTGGCATCAACCAAAGCGTACGGCAGCTCCATCGACATGGCTACAAGGCAAGCGTGGGGTGTCTTAAAATACCCAGCTTTTGCCAAGTTTGACGAGGGTGAACCAAGGCAACAGGTAGGTGTAGGAAGCAGCAAGAGCTACATGCAAGGGTCGACCGAGTGTTGGTGTAAGGAAGACTGATGCCAAGTGCGGCCCGAGGGCTCGAGAAGGGTAAAAACAAGGGACGCAACATCATGTAAGAAACAGGAGAAGGTTTGTCTAGCCTTCTGACCCCCCTCACTTGAGGACGGAAGAACTCCAGCGGCCAGCTTTGACAAATGCCGGTCGAAAGGCAACCAGACAGCACCACAAGGAGGGTGTTGGTAGACATCGAAAGCACCTAGGTACATACATAGGTAGATATATATAATGCAGGTAAACAATCCACCTACCTAGGTAAGTGGAGAGCAGCGCAAAGAAAGGACTGACGCTGCCACGCGACGCCACTGGAATCGAGCCTAGGCGATGTACACTAGGTACGGAGTATATGCGTACATATTCGTGCAGGGCCGAAGAAAAGACGTTCTGAACGTGACATGCCATATGGGCAAGGGGACGAATTCATCGACAGCCACATCTCGATGGCAGCGAAGAAAGCAACCGTGGATGGATGGTTAGTTAGTTACCCTGAGCGTGAAACCGTGCAATTTCACCTGGGGGCTTTAAATTCAGCAATCTGGTGTTCCCCATAGAAGCCCGATGGGCGCCAGGACGTGCGTTCCCTCGCAGAGGCTAGACCAGGCTGGGGTCGAGGAACGCACGGCCAATGGTCAAAAGCTTACTATACAACCCGGACCAGGGTGCGAGTGGACGGGAAAAGAAAATGGTAGGTACCTACCGTGGGTAGGTAGGTAGGTAGGTAGGTAGTTTACGCAGTAGGTACTGCGTACATACGATGTACTGAGGTAGGTAGGTAGTGAGTGAGTAGTACCTACCTAGGTACCGTAGGCAGGTAGTTCAGGCAGAGGCGGGAGCTTGGCGGCAGAGAAACAGCCGAGAACGAAAACCGGTGGTGGGTGGGTGGGGGACCCAGACACTCAGATTCCGGGCCAGCGCCCAGCACCATGCAATGCACACCACACGTTGACACGACAGCACCAGCACCAGCACCCCTTCCCTTTCCCCTTCCCCTTCCCCTTCCCTTCATCCTCGCTCGCACGCCAGAAACAGCAACGGCTACTCCTCCTGCCGTTGTTGCTGCTGCTGCTGCTGCTGCTGCTGCTCGCGGCGACCGAGCTTAATAATTAGCCCGAGCCTGAGGGCCCGCACCACCGCACCGCACCGCACCGCAAACCGCAGGACATGCATCGATCGCATCAGCCCCCTGGTCCCGGCTGAAGCTCTGGCCATGGCCGCCCATGATTGGCTCATCCCGAGGACGTCCTCTTGAACCTCCTGTTTACCTCTCAACTTCCCTCGACTCTCGTAACCCCCTCTCATCTCTTGCAATTTCGCGGCCTTTTACATCGCACCTGGATCGCATCATCAGCGCAACACCGCTATCCAACTCACCTCTTCTTTGCGACACCCATTGTATCCTTGTTCCCCCACACCATCCACCCCATCAGAAGAAGCAGACGCCGCCATGCCCGTCGAGCTCCGCAAGCGCAAAGCCCCCGAGCCCGCCCCAGCCCCGGTTCCCAAGAAGACCTCCAAGGTCACCAAGGCCGCAGAGAAGGTCAAGGCCGCCGTCAAGGGCAAGGCCGAGAAACCCGCTGAGAAGCCTGCTGAGAAGCCCGCCGAGGAGCCTGTTGAGCAAGTCGCCGAGGAGCCCGCCGCTGCCAATGGCTCTGACAAGAAGGCCAAGGCCGTCAAGGGCGAGACCATCGACCTCGACGGCTTCGGCGGAGAGATCGAGACCAACGACGGCGAGAAGACGACCCTGAAGGAGCTTGTCGACAAGAGCAAGGCTGGTGTTGTGCTCTTCACTTATCCCAAGGCCTCGACTCCCGGATGTGAGTATCTCTCTTCTCTGCATCGACGCTACTCGGTAATCATACCCCACCAGTCGTGCTAACCGGCCGTGTGATACCCAGGTACGAAGCAAGCCTGTCTCTTCCGAGACTCGTACGAGCCTTTGACCAAGACGGGCTTTGCCATCTACGGGCTGTCGATGGACTCTCCCAAGGCCAATACCACCTTCAAGGAGAAGCAGAAGCTGCCCTACCCGCTTCTTTGCGACCCCAAGGCCACCCTCATCGGTGCCATCGGGCTGAAGAAGCCGCCCAAGAGCACACAGCGCGGTGTCTTTGTTGTTGACAAGGCCGGTCAGGTCCTCATTGCCGAGCCCGGCAGCCCCGACGGCACCGTCAAAGTTGTGACAGCGCTGGTCGAGGGCGGCAATGTCGAGGCCGCCGCTGAGACTGCCGCCGAAGCCGCCGCCCCGGATGCCAAGGAGGAGGCGCCCAACGGCGAAACCAAGACGGAAGAGGAGAAGAAGGAAGATGCCGCTGATGAGGCCGAGAAGAAGGACGAGTGATTATAGTGCTGCCATGTAAGTGTGATCCGTGGCGGAAAAACGCGTTTGCAATCGGAAGGGCCGGGTAGGGACATGGTTCGAATTTTCTTGTATCCGTATAGTAAGTAGTAAGTGGTAGCTAGGGAATTGATCAAGTGGCGTTGGACTTTTGACGCACGACACTCTGCACCACTGGCATGCCGTGATACACCGTAAAGCACCATTTCGTGAACCCCCGGGAAACTTTGGCATAGGTAGCCGTATTTGCAGCATTAGGTTGCAAGGGGGAAAGGGTGAAGTGGGTACTACCTGGGCACGAAAGTCGGTTTGCAAATTGAAGCACGGCTATTGCTTCGACCGGCAAAACCTCGGCCGCCCGGTCGGTCCTCTGCCAGAAACTGGAGCACTCTACTCTGGACAACCCAGGCGTCCGGAACGCTCACATCCAGCCTCAAGCAGGTCATCGAACCGTCGCCAATCGAACCCACCATCCCCCCTCCACCGTTCACGACGTCGCTCAAGATGGCCTCAAAGGCAGTTGCGAAGGCTGCCGCAGGCGGTATTGTGGACATCTCCAAGGTACGCACGCCCTGCACGGTGCGCTCCCAGCAGCCAAGCAAGGAAAACCACCGTTGCCAGCCCGTTCCGACGATCACGAAACGAATCAATTGGCCCAGCAGCTGACCTCCGTCCCTCCAGAAACACACCCTTCAGTCCCAGGGCGTCTGGGAACGCATCCGCCGCTCCCTCGCCATCGACCCTAACCGCTCCTCCGGCGTGCCCTTGAACCCGACCTTCCGCAACCCGACACCCGGCGCCCTCGACCCCCTCAGCTACGACGACCCCGTCACCCTGCCCGCGGCCGACATCGCCGACAACCCGTACTGGAAGCGCGACGCTCGCCGCAACTACCCGGCCATCAGTGTCGTCAACCAGGCTGACGTCGTCGGCCTGCTCTCGGTCGGCTCCGCCGCCAGCCCGCGCGTCGAGCTCATCGGCGAGGCCGGCGAGAAGCAGCTCGTCGCCGCCCGCGAGGAGGCCGCCTCCACGGGCCTGGCCCTCTACCTCGAGAAGAACGTCGCCAAGGCCGTCGAGGCGAGCAAGGAGGCCCTCTTCACCAACGGCCTGCCGCCGACGCCCAGCGGCCAGGACCTCAAGAGCGGAGCGTGGGATGTGCACAAGTACAAGGTCAACGAGGAGCAGTCCTACGGCGAGAAGTGAGTTTCTCATGGCGCAGCGTCTTCTTTTATTGTTCATGGTTTGGTCGAGACGGTCTTTGCTAACATGATAAGTAACAGCTACCCCTGCCGGACTTTTGCGTAAGCATAGGACATGCGGGTTTTTTCTGGCTGTACAGGAAGGGAAGGGTGAATGTAAATATGAAAGGCACTAGATTCCATTAAACGTTTTACTTCTTCAAATCATGAGTCTAAGGAGTATGCATGTCTTGTCGTCTCTAGTCTTTTCATCCGGTGGGTATCTCAGCCCTTTTTGATCCTAACCGCCCACTCGTTGGTAAAAGCCCAACGATCCTTGACAAAGAACACCGATCCATGCTTTCTAGATTCATCCACAACCCCCTTTTTCACATCTCCTTCGCCTCCACCACCTTCGAATCGGCAGCCGCCTCACCCGTCATGCGCTCGATGATTTTGACCTTGCCCTGCGCCCTCTTGAGCCTGTCGTCAAAGTCGTTGACGGCCTCGTCGCTGTTCTCCCTGGCCAGCGTGTCCGGCTCGACGAGCGCGAACGCCGCCGTGACGTTCTTCTCGAGCCTCGCGTTGCTCGCCAGCGGCGGCAGGGAGCAGGGCCCTTGCCGCCGCCGTGGCGCCGCCCCCGCGAAGGGGTCTCGTGGTGGTGTTTGCGACGAAGAGTTTGAGGAGTTTGCGGCGCCGCTCTTTTGCGGCAGGGACAGCCGGTTCGCCCACACGACGGAGCGGCCGTGTATCCTGC